AGTAACGTAACCCAGCCCTTTTGGCGCTTCGGCTGGGACCGTATGCTGAATGTTGGGGAGGGGATGGAGTCCCCGACGGTGGACGGACCACTTCAACTCGGTCCTTAGAACCGCCACAATTTGGTGCTTACCTCAGAACTAAGCCTTAAAGAGAGGACGGGTCCGTCCCCTCTCCAAGGCTTAGTCCTGGGGTGAGCAAACCAGCCCTTCTGGCGGAGCTGCTGGACCAGCTGCACCACTTGCGTCAGTACTCTCCTATCGTACCAACCGAGTTGAAGTAAACCGTCGACCGTTGGGGACCCCATCCCCTCCCCAACATTCAGCATACGGTCCCAGCCGAAACGCCAAAAGGGCTGGTTTGCTTACCTCAGTTCGCAGTATCTCATAGGTGTCAAATCTCACAATTACGTCACTGTAGAAACAGTCAAACAGTTATGGTGATGAGGAGGCGGGAGGGCAGGCGGTGTGCGGTATATCCGTCTGGCTGGTGGTTGTAAGTCGTGTCAAGTCTATCCTACAAGGGGGGGGAATCGTGAAATCCTTGAGAGGGCATTTTTTTGGAAATTTGCCCAGCGCTACGGTTGACCCAGTCGCTAGCTATTGCGCTACCTCATCCGTTGATATGTGTCATAATGCAATTGTATGAATAATTATTGCGAATTGTACGGGCAGAGTTGTGAGGCCCATTTTTCGTATACATCTACCACAATGGGGCTGCAGCTGCATCGACACATGACGCCTGAAATGCTGTTTTCGGCAATTCATTGATTTGACCGAGGCATACGTCACGATAAGGTTCGTCATCGGTGTGAAAAACTCACGATTTTGATAAGTACGTCGTCAAATGTGGCAGCCAGCTGGTCCTGTCAGCTAGAGAAAGGGCTTTGTGAGGGCGAAAATTTGATTTTAAATGAGAATTATGCGACAGCTGTCGTTTGTTGCAAGGGTTTCACTCGCGCAGAGTGAGAAACTTGTGACAACTTTCAATCCCGCTTTCCTTTTTTGGAGTAAGAACTGTGGACTTTTACATCTTCAGAACTTACCCTGCTCGGGGCATTCAAAATTCTGGGATATCTTCGCGGTGGAAAACTGAAACGGCGCTATGTTTTGCCGATTCGGCGGAGGTGCGCTATATCATTAAGGAGGTTTTTGAGCTATAAGAATTTCTTCCCAAGCTATCCAATCCCAACTGTGATCCTCTTCGCCCTTGGACTCAGCGTGCTCACTTCGTTCAACTATTCCCACTCGCCCAAGAATGTACAGGGGAGGAGTACAATTTATGTAGATTAAAAACTATTATTAACGAAAACATCATGACTTTCCTAAAAAGACAAAAATACGTAGGTCTAAAATATGATGTTTTGTGAAGGCAACTCGACCTTTGAATAAACTGTGAACAGACCCACAACTCCAAATTTAGCAGGGATTCTCGTCAGGTCGATGAAATCGTGAAGGCTAACGCCATTTGTCTAATAAATGGCCCTGGGTAATGACATTGCCAGGGAAAGTTCCGTAATGTGTTCTGCATATGCTGCAGACTCGGGCTTTGTTCGTTATGAGGTTTTTCTTCCGCTTGGCTCCGTTTCTCTCCCCCGGGGGCTGCGCGAGTACCTATCGATCCTCTCTTTCGTCTCCTTTTCGTATCGGATTATTCGTTCCTTTTTTCGAAAATTTATCGGCTTCCCTGAAAGATGTGAACCTTTGAATTTTTGAAAGTCAAGTACCAGATGAAAAAAAACATCTCCAAAATCATGCTGCCCTAATTATTCGCTATTCCTCTCCTTGAAATCGTAGACTGCTCTGACTTGTCCCTACGAACGCTTCAACATTCAAGGGTGCTCAGCAATGTATGCCTCTGGGAAGACGGCCTTACTACACGAACTCCTTCTTACATATGTCCGTACTTCCCTACACTCTTTTACTTCACCAGAATCTAACAACACATGTAACGCCCTGTGTCCTTCATGAATCCATTACGGGCTCTTTTATGACCCTCATCTCCTCTACCCTCCAAATCTTGGTGCCATCTTCTCCTCTCCTCCTTCCTCGGTATACCTCCCATTTTTTGTGTTCGTTTATTGTTTAACGAGGAACCATATTGTAGAAAGAATGTTTCATCTGCCCGTTACTTCTCGAGGACATTTCTTCGTGAATTTTTGAACAGCATGACCAAACCTTTTCGCAGTGCTCGCTAGTGAAAAGCACCATTAGCTTCTAACTAGTGGCATCTCATAACGATTCGATGGGCCTTTCAAACCTCTTTTTGTGTTAGACCCTTTAAACGTTTGTCCAGACTCCAACGTACTGTGTTTAAGCAACAGTCCAGCAGGGTTTTTACCTTCGACACTAATGGTGTGGAACGATGCGCTAGCCCTAGTCAAGAACATAAGAAGTGTGACTGAACAAAAAACTCACCTTGGAAAGCCGCTAGAAAGGGAGCTGAACGGCTTCGAAGTGGGCGTGGTTGGAATCGGCCGAGGGGATTGCAGCCGACTGAGCAACCACGCCCACTTCGAAGCCGTTCAGCTCCCTTTCTAGCGGCTTTCCAAGGTGAGTTTTTTGTTCAGTCACACTTCTTATGTTCTTGACTAGGGCTAGCGCATCGTTCCACACCATTAGTGTTGAAGGTAAAACCTGCTGGGACTGTTGCTTTAAGTCGCTATGATAGAAAGTGAACATGCGTGGCGCAACCTCCAAGCAGTGCTCTTTTTCATTTCTGTTTACTGTTTTCCTTTGAGACATGTTTCGTTTTTGAATTTTTGAGGTGAAGCGGTGTTCTGGTGGAGTAACGGATAGCACAGCATCCGGGAGCAAAGGGAGAGGGTTCAATTTCCTGCTGGGGCCTACTGCTATGCCCATAACTCAGCCTGCTTGTGATCACCATATTTGACCCTACCAACGTATAGGCGGATTCAAATATTTGAACACTTCCACTGCAAGGATGAAACCATGGCGTATCGCGATGTAAGCTACTGTGAGAATCCTAGATATATCGCAACACTTTCGGCTCAAATCGCAAACGAATTCATCATCCACTAGCCACCCCATTCGTCCATGGGTCAGTTCCTCCTGGGATCCTCATAAATCCTTCTCACCGAGCATCCATCAACGCTTAATCCCTCATTTTTCTCATAAAAATCCGAGAAAGTGTCATTCCTTTGAAATTTGCGACCAACCGTTTGGAAAAGGCTGTTTCGTCGAAAACAGCTAGCAGTCACATCATCGTACGGGGGAACACCTGCTGTTGCCGGCCAGCCGGCTGGCCGGCAAGCCTTGCATGTGAAATGAACAAAACCAATCAATTATGAGAGTTGGAATGGCTATTCTCAACGACGAGCTAATCATCACTTCGAGACTCGTTGAGTTCTCCCTCGACGCTGCCGCTGCACTTTCAGCACGTAGGCCCGAAAGAGGAATGCTCCTTTGGGGTTAACTCTGGCCACGGAAATGCCCTCATCACCCTAGCGAGCCGGAACGATCCAAAACCTATGCTGACCACTGACGCGATATATCCTTCGAATTAGCCGCAATCCCCTTGACGGTTTTAAAAGTATAATTCGCTCTATAAACGCATTTATCCATCCATGGGTCTCATCGATCCCTCTCTACGATGTTTATCAGCTGTGCCTTCATAGCTCCCACATGTCTCTACAGAATCTCCACGACGTTATCCTTATCGTAACCCTTGACTCAGCCCATGATTCACGGCTTAAATATAAACAAAACTTGTTCTTCTAGCTCATTTGAAGACGCCATCATTAATCAAAATAAACACTAAACATATTTTCGCACACGAAACTTCTAGACCACTCGGTTTTTCTGAAGCTGATAGTGCTAAACTATTTCCTTGACGGTTCCGGACAAATAACCTGTTTATCATCACTTCACTCTAATAGCCAAAAAACAGAAAATTTCTTTGATAATCAAAACAAAATACAAACCATACAAGGTATAAAAATTCGAAAAAAAAAGTGAAAACAAACAAAATTATTCTTATTGATTCTAGAATCAATGCCCCAATAGGTCAGCCTTTACGGAAGCGGAACCGGAAAACAACGAATTCTGCTCCCTTTCCCCTCTGTTTCGATTTGTTTCCCTTTCCCCTTTCCTTCTTTCAGGACCCTTTTCTGAAATATCACAGTAAAATCTATCAATCCTTTCCGACCCCCCTTACTCATGCGGTCAACATTTACTGGTATTATAACTTCAAAATGCGGGCTACTCCAATTCGTAAGGGAGAGAAAAATGGAAAGCATCAGATTACCGACTCAAAACTGGTACACTCAATTATTAATTCGATACTATTTAGTTTCCCAGAGCATAGCCAGAACAGCAGCAATCCCACTGCTAGGATTGAAGATTATTTAATTTTCAAAAAATAAATAACTTTAACTTAAATAAATAAATAAATAAATAAATATGGCAAACATTTAAGAAGGAAAAAAAACCTTTTCAAAACTGATGGATAAGAATAAATAAACAGTGAAAGACCATACCAGCGATGACTTGTTTTCCACGACCTTTGCCATCTTTTGCTCCTTCGATAATTCCTGGCAAGTCCAAAGAGTTGGATCTTTGCTCCCTAAACAACTTCGAGTCCTCCCTAATAGTAGGGCGCGCAGTTCTCTACTCTCAACCAATTTGGTACTCTCTCTCTCTCTCCTATCATTAGCCTGCCTTCCCTAAAAAATTCCCAATTACTCCCCTTGAACGCTTATCCCACGGCGAAGGCGGAATTATGGGTTAACTTGTCAATACCCTTGCTAGCCATCTTACTTCCATCTCCCGCCCCTTTCTCACCCAATATTAATGAGGAGCCAACTACATATCAACTTCCGGTCACTAGAAAGATCCTCAAACTTGGCCGTTTGCATGAGTAAAGCATGCATAATATATTCTGCGTTGACCAGTCTCTTTCTGGGCCGCGCCACGTATTTTACCTCCATCAAAAGTATCGAATGCACATTCATGGGATCTGGTTCATATAGTGAACAATGGAACGCTTGTAGGCATGGGGATTCGTGTCGATGAGAAACAGGTTTTTTCTTCTAAGCCCGACCAACTGACAGCCGCAAAGGGATAGGAGGCTTGATTAACCTGATAGGTGCACGATCGCGGATTTGATCCCGAATTGTGCGCGTGGTAAGCAGCGCCTCAACGCAACCCAATGTCACCTTGTTTTCAAAATAGGTGAAAAAAAAATTAAAAAATCTCATAACTGAGTTACGTCTTACTTTATATCTAATTACTCCTGGCACTGTCGTTAGCGTTGTGAACTCATACGCTGCCACTTCTGAGTAGACACCAGCCAAATTCGATAACAATGTCGACTTGCCCACCGATGGAAAGCCTAAATTCAAGACAATCTTTGGGATGTTTTGGAAAAGCTCGAAAAAAGTGAATTTCTTCACATACAAAATTACCCATTCGAGCGCATGCCCCGCCCACGTGGCCGGAGTTTCCTCATGGACCAACACATATCACTTTCATAAAGGGGCGTGTGCCCCATCTTGGCCCTATTTCCTGGCTTTCATAACGATCAGAATTCATCGTCCTGATCTGTATAACCTTTTTCTAGAAACTATAACTGTATAACCTTTGCCTAGATCAGAAATTGGGCTATTTCACATAAACCTGAACTTCGTAGATTAAGCTTTGCTGTTGTTTTCATGACATTTCATCGATAAATCGGATACTATCGATAAAATGCGTGGTTCACCTCTTCCTTATCAATAGCGCCAAGAAATTCCACGGTCAAAAACGTGGCTACAGCGGCTACTTTCCCCGATTTGCTACCCTTCCTCAATTCCAATAACTGGTTTTAGTAAGTAAATTCAATCATGTCCACAATATGTTTGTCCAGGCGTGAAAAGAAAGCCTCGTCCTATACAATCAACTCGTTACACTTTCGAATTCAACGTACGAGGTCGCAGGTTTTTTACTGGAAACATACAATTCTAGCTAATTATTTCCAGTGTAATAGGAAAAATTTTCTTTTCTAATTTCTTGACTATTATTTCCGTAGAACCGCTAAAAGCAGCTGCTTTCAACTAGGATTTCCACGAGTTTACCACTTCTAAGAATAGCATATGCTTTCAAAGCTATGAGTGAGATTATCCTCAGCAACCAGCCGCAGTAAGATCCCATTTTAAAAGCTTCTCTCGATAGTGAACCCTGAGAATGCTCTCAAAATAATATTTGTAGGAAAATTCAACAAAATGGCCTGAGAACAAGGTATCCCAAGACTCGAAAGATGTGTAGAAAACTCCCTGCAACAATAGGTGCAACCCTCACGGTCAGGAATGGGTAAAACTCTCGGCGCTGGTTTTCGCTCTGGGACTTTTGATCGCGCCATGCACTTGCTCTCCGCAAAAAATTGCAAAATTACACAAATGCCTAATCCATTTACTTTTGAAAATTAACTGCCTAGCCACAGCTTGTTCTTTATGGCATAACTCTCATCTGCCATTAACTATGCAAATACTGAACAAAATTTGCGTGGGGGTACCCCGTGAAGACCACGTAGAGCATCTACCCGTTCTTACAACGCTCCCTTTCAAGCACCCACCACTGGCCCTTTCGTCTAAAGGGTGTCCTGGACCTATCCCTCCACTTTCTAGGGTGCTTCTTGGGTTCATCCCTCTATCCTGAAGGCAGTGATAACGATGACCGGAAGGCGGCGCGGCTTTGATGACCTCATTAAACATCATTGGGAGACATTCAATGACGGCATCAAAACCGTGGGACAGCCTTGAGGGGGCGGTCCAAACTACACCCCCACCGCGCTGGGATCTAATCCATTAATAAGTTCACTGAAGTCGTCAAACCCGCCCCGCCCTCCAGCCATAGCGATCCCTGCCTTCCATCACACATCATAACCGCAGTTGTACCATTTGGCAGCTTGCCACCTCAACTGTTTGAGAACGAATCAACCCGCTTTGTATTTTAATAATTTTTCAAAGCCATCTATCCAGTGGGTCGGGTGATTATGGCATTTATCCGTCTTTCTTGTTCTTGAGAGTAGAGCAGTTCCTTCTCTTTGCTGGTCATTCGCCCTGAATGACATTCAAAAAAGGCTATTCCGTGAAGGCACTTTTAGACTTTTTCCATACTTTAGAGTTCAGTGCGGAGCAGAAAGTGCATTTTCTGTACGTCATTTTCCACATCACTTTAACAGCGCTCGAGATGGTTCCCGTTCATGTTCTCCATTTTGTATTACACAAATTTCTCCTTTCAGGCTGATTCCAGTGCAAACCGCTACAAGTAGAACCGTCATCGGTACATCACTTCTTGATGTCCATGAGCAATGGACGTCAATGGACGGACAGACAGCTTCATACAAAACACAGGATTTGTCGTCGTCTCAGATTCGTCTGCAGCAAGGAAGTGCCGCAAGCCGAATGGGGCGGGGCTTGGCATGGCGCCGCCGCCATCGCCGCGTATGAGCCGCTGTGCTCCTCGTTCTCGGCATGCGCCTGACAAGACGACTCGCATGAGCTCGCCCTATCTACTTCTACATCATCGCCACAATCGTAGCCATCATCACTTTCATCCTCATCATCTGAAAAACTGCTCACGGCTTGTATTACTCTTCATCGTCACCGAGCTACTGGCTTGGCCCGGTGTCAGTGGCGCGCCAAATTCTAACCACTACAACGATGACGCTACCCATGATTTCCCTCGTCATCCGGAACCTCAACGGCGAATGGTCTGCAATAATGGCACCGATTATCGGTGTATCTGTAGAGCCAGTATTCCTCCCGATAACGAGCCCACTCCTGGGATTATTGAATGTGATGAGTTCATTCAGGTTTGTATTTTTCTTCCTGCCAGCTGTTATTTTGCCAAAAATTGACTTTTTTTTCAAAATTCTCTCACAAATGTTCTTAGAATGTTCCATATGTCATTTCATATTCATTTGCATCTGTCCTCAGGAACTTTTGCCTGTCACACTTCAAAAAGCCAGCCTTATCGCCCTTTGAAGTGCAATACGTTGCTGAATAAAAAATGAGCTATTAGGGGGACATGGAGAACTAGCACTTCTTGGTGTCATTTTGTCCATTTTTCGGGCCATTTATGACTTCTGGCTGATCTCTGCTGACCTTGCCGACCACCTAGAAAACCAATGCTTCGAAACATAACTCTAATTGTCTACGCTACTGCAAGTTGGACGACGACGACGACGCCGCAAAAGAACCCGAGTTATCGACCGCGGTTGAGAGTTTCCCTCTCTAACAATGCCTCACACACACACATCATGACGAGGCTCCCCTCTTCTGTTCTGCTGCTGCTGCAGCTAGCGCCCATCACACACTAATGCTCATTCGCATGAGATCTCACACTTTTCTCTTAACCATGGTCAGTTTTCTTCGATCGATTCCACAGCATAGCACTGCTGGCCGGTCTGGCCGGCTTAGCCTAGTCGAGCTAGCTTTGGCGAGAAGCCATATCTATCCGTGATCGTCGTGATGGTGGGCTTCATTAGCCTGTTCCCACAACACTCCATCAAACCTCGTCATCTTTCATTTTTCCCTAATCTTTGGGGACGTTTTTCCTGTGCGTTCTTCTCTTTACAACGGGAAGCTCGCAGCCGGGCAGGACTTCTCTCGCCTCGAGAACAACCACGGCCACAAAAAATTCTAGCCGATATGGCCTATCCTGCCCGCACACCGCGGCCATTTCTCATGCACCACAGCGCCGCCTTCACACACGCTTGACGAGAGCCATTTCCTTTCGAGGACATCAACCGCATATTATCTCAACGACAAAAACATCGCCACACGACATTCGAGCGTTCTCGCCGCTTTACACACACACACCCACAACTATTCCCTAGCGCATTTATGACGCAAAATGTGCGGACAAATCAGCTGATACCAGTCAATATCTTAAAGTAAGATTATGAGTAAAAAAACGGAATGAATTCATGGCAATGACGCTTCTCACTGGAACACGCCATGGGCTTTACTTTTATCCGGAATTCACAGATATTTGAAAAGCCCCACTTCAACAATGATTTTTGAGAAGCAGTCAGTATTTAGTGGTCAGCATTTTGTCGTTCCAAACAATGCTAAAGATTATTCAAAAAAAATAAAACAAAAAATTTACACCTGGATGAGGTCCCGTACAACGACCGGCGCAGGTACTAAATGGGCAACTTGCCAGAGAGCCAGCCACCCGTCAAATGTTACAAAACGAATTATGTCTCAGCAAACAATATTAGACTTCCGGACACACCAGCTTCCCTAGTTTGGAGGCATCGTGCACGGAAAACGTGCACTTTCTTTCCCTGCACAAAATTGTTATGTCTATCACAGATGTCCATGTGCAAAGTTCCTCAGGAAAACATGAACATCCCAAGAGAAACAGCTTTGAGAAAGTTCACCGCCTGGACGGCTAGTGGTACAAGGGGTGGGGCCATAAAGGGCTCATGGAACAAGTTTCGCGGTAGGTGCGGCCTGCATGCATTTTGGGAAGATCTACCTTAAAGCTCCCATTCACATTCACGAGTTCAGCATGTTCGCAAGTGTTAGTCCTCTAACACCACTATTTGTGACAGTTTTACGGCGGGAATTCAAACGACTTGGTTACTCGGATTTATTACCAAAAGCAGCGCCAAATTATCGTTCTCTTTTATGATCCCTCATAAAGTGCAGGGTTCAGAGCACCAATTTTTGAGACGGTAGATACGATGTACGATGGCTTTAACGTTCTTCGATACCACAAAAAAACCTCTGAAAAAATCTTTGAACCATTCCATTTTGAGAATTATGATTCCGAAAATAGAGATTTGCTGACTTCTCCCAACAAAGTCTCAAAAATCACAATCGCTCGGTGAATTCCTGGTTCTTTTTCAGAAGCCGCTATCTTATCAATTCCACAAGCGTCACGCAATTATGCATGACTTTAACTGCATTTTCTTCTCTTAAAGGGTAATTACGTCAATAGGAACTTTTTCATCGGTAACATGACATTTTATTGCGCTTTTTCTGCTAACCTGCGTACTTCTAGCCACCTCCGCAAACTTGTCAGATAAGATATTCTTCTAATCGTAGAAGCAAAAAAAAAACAATTATTTACCAGTCTCACTCTTCATAATATTTTGGAATAAAATTAACTAATTAATTAATCAATTAATTAATTGAAGAAGCTGTTTTACAGCGAAAGCTTGCCAATAAAGTGTATGAATGAGCCTTCACTGCTGATTTCTTGAAGAAGATCTTAATTGAAAGTAACAAAATGGAATGTTTTGAAGATACCTCAGGTATCACAGCTTCCATTTTACGAACCCAAGAAACAGCATGCGATCATCTGCTAAGGATCCTCATATTGTATCCACAGGAAATGTCCCGGGAGAAGTGATCTTTCTTGGAAAACCGTATGTTGAACAACCCCTTCAGTTTTACTCATTAACCGAGGGAAAACTTCACTGAACACCAGAAATAATTGTTGGAATAAAAAAGGAGAGACCAAAGTCCACTGTATGTAGATCAGCCCAACTGATGTTCAGTTTTGATAAACAAATAAAAAACTACGCCAGCCAGGATACA